CCGATCGAGACCAAATTCTCGGGACATGTGTCCTAGGCAAAGTGGAACCTCTAGGAACGATCGGATCAGAATTATGAGGTCGTGAACCCCACGGGGTCCCGAGTTGACCTTTTAGGACTTTATCGCTTTTGAGTCTCGAATTACTATTAAATCATGCCCATTGAGAGGAAAGTTAATGTGGGCATAGGAATGACCTTTAAAAGTGATGTATGCACTTTTAGGAGCCGAGGGTCAGGGTTTTTATTTTAATATTATATTTTTGAGCAGAGTTATTAATAAAAGATTATGTTGGATATTCAGGCACCCGGGCAGCAGTTGACCCGCAGGAGGGACCTTCAAAGGGTCCAGCTAGCTCAGATCACCAGTGAGTGGACTTTTTGTTTTATAAACGATTTATGTAATTTAATTCCATTATTTGATCTTGAATAAGTTTTACTGAATACGACATAACTTGTGTTTGTGCCTAACAAATCTCGGCCAAGGAAGGTGACTGAGGGAACTTCCTCTCGGCCCTAGCGCCTACCCATGGCCGAACGTTACAAGTCATTGTTTGCTTCCTTTTGTTAAAAACAAAGGTGAGCTTGTACAGGCAAAATCATCACGGCATCGGCGATACTAGCCGAGGGCAAACTCCTCAGATACACGGCCAAGATAGGAATATGAAAAGTTAAACGGCGTCGCCACGTGGCGTCAAGGTCCCACGCTTCATTTAATGAAGTAATGCCTCTGACCACAGCAGAAGGCCCATGATCCACGTAGGAGCATTTAATGAGCCAAGAAAGAAAGGACGTGATTTAAGTCAGGTATGGCGAGTAAAATCAGGGATTAGGTGCGAAAATCTCACGACTTATAAGATGAAGTCACCAACCCTCAGACCAGGGCATTAAATGCTCCTCCAAGGCCCGAGACGCAGAGCCCACCATCAGGGCGGCGGCCAGGGTTTATGGTTTAAGGAAACCTTTAGAAAATCATGAGTTTCATTTGAACATCAACATAGATAAATAAAATCATGGCAACGGAAGCTTAAGCATGCATCTATGAGTTCAAAAACAAAAACTTTTCCCATGAATCTTTTAAGCCAAGTGATAGTTGTACTACTTTCCTAGAACATACTTCTAGTAAGATTGGAAGGAGGAGTTACCCTTGGTGCGTGCTTTCAACCCTATGATCGAATTCCACCAAAGTTGTTGAAGCTTGAATGGCTCCTTCAAAATCTCCACCTTGTTGTTGAAGCTTGAATGACTCCTTCAAAACTTCAACTTAGGAGGTTCTCCAAAAGTCACCAAAATAGGTAACCTCTAAGTCTCTTCACCAACTAGAGCTTGAGAAGAATATGATGAGCTTAGTGAGAGGATGATGCTAGTGATCCCTCACTAAGATGGTATGAAAGTGTAGAGAGAGTTTTTGGAAGACTAGAGCTTTCTTTCTCTCTCTTGTTTTTCACTAATGAACCCTTAGGCTTCAAAAAGATGATAGTCGTCTTTTTCTTGAGTCAACAAGTTGACTCTAGCAACCAAAAGCCCATATGAACATCCATCCCTTGAAATTGGGCCTCTTGGGCTCAATTTAATTTATGTTGTCATACAACCCAATCTCCATGTCCAAAAGGATAAAGCCCAATAAGCCCGGAATTCAAAATTCCCGTTTGAAGCCTATTCCGACATCACGTGTCGTTTAAATTAATTCCATAATTAATTTTGCCTTAACCAATTAACACAACTTAATTGATCTCTTCAATTCATCATCTCCATAACGGTTTCTCAAATAGCTCAAGTTTAACGGTGTGCGATCCATTAGGTTCTAATTAGCAAGGTCGTGGGCAATTTGAACTCTTCGTAATTGATTGTGAATTAAAACTCCTTTTTAATTCTCCCTATTAGTTAGGATCATTAGTCCTTAGGGCTTCCGCCATCCATGAGTGACACCTAGCAGTATGTCATGGATATCCAAGCTAAGTAGAATAAGCAGAGAACCTATTCAGTTGGAATTACAATGTAATACGATCCTTCCCTATTACAATGCTTTTAATCTCATTACTAGGGCATGGTGCATGTCAAAACCCCTAACGAGATTGTCACGTCTTATATGATTTGTATTAGTATGACAAGAACATCCTTCTAAGTCATACCGAATACTCTGATCAGAGATTTGCTTAATCATACATTCCGAGCATTCTCCCTCTTTACTGAAGGATAGAGATTCCATGTTGTACACTCACATGTCTCCATGAGTTAATCGTGAATCCTAACAATGCTTGTAACACATCCGTGATTAGGACATGTCTTTATAGCATCATCAAAGATCCACAACCTTCCCACAAGACAACCATGGTGCCTCAGGTCTAAGGACTAATTTGCATTATTGCAACTTGGAGTTTCTTGTTTGACATACAAGTAAAATTTCCATACAAGAAACTCTCGTTTGATCGCGTTCAGTGAACTCATTCTCCATTGAGCACCTACATACTTGTCTTAGTGTCTCCACACGAATGACTTGAGACCAGTCATCCTCCCAATTGAGAAGACATAGCATGTACCGGTCTTTCCGGATTGTCAGTGCCCATTTGACAATCCTATGACTAGGAACATTTAGGGCATGAAGATAATAGAGGAAAGGTCTCCTGAATCTAACTTCCTTAGATTACTTTCTCTCTATCTCACATCCCTTGGACTTATTGTTTAAGCATGTGTAATTGTTAATGAGACATTTACTAATAAACAATAAACTTGCCCTTTAAGAGGATTAAACATAAGTCTAATACATGAAATATCCTTAAAATATTACATCATATGATTGGCTTTTAGGGCATATTTCCAACATATGGGGGTCACACCACCATGCTTCACATTCCCAAATGTCGATTTGACTACCCACTAGCTCTGATCAACCTCACCATGCAGATTTTCAGCCTCATTGTCTCCTCAGGACCTTCCCTATAAATACCAGGCTCCAACTACATTTGAAAGGTTCAAACACCAAACACAAGCCTCCCACAGAGCAAATTATATTTCCCTGTCATTTACTTCTTGTCATTTATCTTCTTGTAATGCATTTTCAGTACTTTTACTTGCTTTCTTAGGAGTAGTGACAGTTTGTAGGAAAATCCATTCATCAATATATCATACGACCCTTGATTTTCAAGGCGCCGGAGCACCATCTTTGTTATTCTTTCGTTCATCCCATATATCATACAACCGTTGTCACCCAACAACGCGCCGGAGCACCACCTGAAAACCACCATCAACATCACCATTAACGGCCTTGTAGCTCAGGCCGTGAACCTAACGACCGAGATCAGTTCCTCTCTCGGCCACAGTCGCTCTGATTAGAAGTCTAACTCAAACAGGCGCACTACTCATCTATTCATCCAATCAACTCATCCTCAAACACACGACAAACCGTGCTGGCACGCTCGCGTACAACCACACCATACCAAAGAAGGACGACCCGTGTTGACGCAGATCCCTTCAGCCCGGAGCACCAGGCCGTGAGATTCGTGTTGGTCAACAACTTGATAGATTTAAACATTTCTGTTTATTTGTATGCTGCCTAGCTGAACATGATTAAAGGGATTTGGAGAGTCAGAATTGAGGTATTATCAGATTAAAAGGCCGCAAGATTTAAGGAATAGTTTTATAAACTTTAATCTTTTTTAGATTTATTTATATTTATTTATTTTAAACCACTTAGGTACCCAAGGTTGCCTTCAGTATAATAAATGTTGCCTTCGGATTTAAATGGTTGCCTTCAGTTATAACGATGTCTACGGACATCCAGTTGCCTTCAGTTATAACGATGTCTACGGACATCCAGTTGCCTTCAGTTATAATGATGTCGACGAACATCCAGTTGCCTTCGGGTAGGTCAGCATGCTTGACACAGCCCCACGAGTCTCGGGGACACTCGAGCCGTGTGGTGCTAGGAGTGCAACTCAGGTAGGCCAAGTGTTCCCTGAGTCTAGCTAGGATTACGGATCAGGCTGACCAAATGTCCTCTGAATTCTGCTAGGGTTGCGGCTCGGGTTGACTTTGTGTTTCCCGAGGTCTGCTAGGACGTGTCACTCCGATGGCGCGAGGACGTGTCACTCTGGTGGCATGAGGATGGAATTGACGGAATTAAAAGGAATTGAAGGAAACTAAAGGAATTGACAGAATTATACATGGGTACACCTAGGTGGTAGATTTTAAGTTGATTTCAATGCTTTCGAGGACTTAATGTTTTAATCAAGTATGATTGACTCTATATATATAGATATAAATAAGAATGCATTGATTCCAGTAGGAGTATATATATAAGAAATGATTTAGTTTCATAACTATTTTTACAGAGGGGTTAGTATGTTCTTATGCTATTTTCTAAACTTTATTTTTGGTCCACTCACCTTGTCAATGTTTTGCGCCCCCAGGCAGCAGTCGTGTATCAGTGCGCCACCACCGGGCCGAGTCCATCTTCCGCTACATCCCTTGACAATGTAGGGTTTTGATTAGTTGTGTTTTATTTGTAACCTACTCTGCATAGATGCTCTGATATTGTCCTAGAACACATGTCTAACCGTTGGTATGTATTTATTTGTATGCTGGCGATTGGTGTATATTTTTATATGCATGTTTGACAGGTGTAACTTTGGTTTGATCTAATTTCAGGGGAGACTCGGCTGAAATTTTTTCGGCAGAAGTCAAACCCCAGTTTTAAGTGAAGCTTGAATAGAAGGGCAACTAGGTCATTTGTGGCCGGCACTTGCTAGGTGTCGAACACGCTCAGGGTTCGGCTCGGGTTCTAAAATGGAATTTGGGTCGGGTCCTGTCATATAACCCATGAACACATCAACCTTGTCCAACACCAATAGAGTCTCATATCATGCACAAATTCATTACCAAATATAAATGCCCACTTCTTTTGATTCAAATGCAGAGAAGAACTTGAGAGGAAACTCCAATTTGTGTTGTTTAGAAAGTTATTTGGAATTCTCTAATGAGAGGAAACTCAAAATTCTTACCAGTGAGAAAAATTATCAACACAATTAGCAGAAAAAACATAAATCCAATTCCCTGAGCTTTCTTCTTCATGCAAAAGTTGGGTACCAACACGGACTGGAAAATTAAAAGCCAATTTAAATATTGGCACAGAGAGTATTATAACAACAATAACCTCTACATAAAAGCATTCATTTATGCAAATGCATGAATGTTTCTTAGTAGAAGAGAATGCCAAGTTACAAGAAACGACCCTATTGAGAAATCACAAAACCAACACATAATATCATTTAATCTGTTTAGAAACAATATAAGGCATATAAAATATTAAAGCATTACCCTGAGTGATACCTAGATTAGCATCTGCATGAATGTCAGCTACAACATTCGCATCATCTAAAATCTGCCAAAAAAATCTTGCGTTATTAGAATAAAAAATCAAAAGTGGAAAACTTATTTCTGAAAGAAAATTAACAGCTCATTGAAAAAAAATCCCGAAACAGCTACTTTTGCATTTTCTAAAAAGAGCAAACAAGACCAACCGTAATAAACATGAAAATGCATCTTTATCTGTGATACCCAAGGCTTCGGTTGCTTTACAACTTAATTTGAGAGTGAGGGAAATTATATGTAGCCCACACCATCTTATGTATGCGATTCTCTCTCATGACCCTATTCCTATTATACCACAAAATGCAAAATCACATACCAAACTTAAACAATTTCAATTCTCAGCCATATACTTGTTGGACCCAACAAAGAATGAAAACTTTGCAAAAAAAGAAAAAGAAAAAACAAAGAATGAGAACTAAAATTAAAAGAGGAAATGGAACCAGATCTAAAACATAATAAATTGTGAGAAATAAATACGTTTCCTGTAAGGCATTCGGGATTACCTCAAATCATTTCCCTAATATTGATTTGTTCCCTTCCCAGCAAGACCTTGGAAATTAAAAAAACAAATAACAGAACTGAAATTCGTGAAAAATATATCAACAACAATAGTACCCAGCATGGAAAGAAGAATCTGTTGATGCTCTTTTTGGGAGGTCAACTTAGATAGGGAAGTGTAGGGTCTTCAGCAGGGAAGAAGGCTAGGACCTTCGGTAACTGAGGAACCTACAGAAGACAATGGGAAGAAGCAGTCGTCAAGCTTCGGACAACGGTGTGGTGGCGGCCGAAGGCCAGGGAAGGAGTGTCTTCCTTCGGCAGGGAAGAAGACGTGTCTGCCGTGGTGCTAGTCATTTTGGTGTTAGATATGCTCGGTTGATTATGGTGTAAACAGTAGTCCCCCAAGTTAGATATGTGTGGTCAAGAAGTAACTTTTGGGTTGGGAACTTGTAAGCTTTTGCATAATCGTGACCGAGCATTCCCAACTTAGTAGGAGCCATAGGGCATTCCCTAGTCCCCCAAGTTGGCAAGCTAGAAGTTGCGTCAAACTTCAAGAGTGGCCTAGGCAGGGCCAAGCTTCAAGTTAGCACAAACCTTGCAATGAGGGGCAGGGGCTGGGCTAAGCAAGAGGGCTGGGCTCCGAGAGGCAGCAGGCTGGAGCTGGGCCTTGGAGCTTCAACAGGGGGAGTAAAGGGATACGTGAGCCCCTTCGTGCTTTAGCACAGGCCTTGCCGTTCAGCAAAGTTGATGTGTTTTTTGAGTTTGACTTTTTTTTTTTTTTTTTGGCCTAGGGCCTAAGGTACAAAGTTAGGAATCTGAACCCCAAGGTTCAAGTCCCAAAGTCCGGAGACCCAGGACTCTCCTGCTAGTCTGGCCTTCGGGTCCTCGGTCTCCGGACTTTGGGACTTGAACCCTGGGCTTCAGATTCTTAGCTTTTTACCTTAGGCCCTAGGCCTTCTTCCATTTATCTTTGGGTCTAATCCCCTTGTACAAATGTAAACAAACATTATTATAATGAGAACATCTTCTCTGTGGACGTAACCCATCATTTGGGTGAACCACGTCTTGTCTTCTGCATGCTTATTTACTTTACTTACCTTAACTGCTGAAGCCAAGTCCTTGCCGAAGGCACATAGACCTGCTGAAGACCCTCGTCTTCACACATCATCCACCATTCCACCTCTATCTAAGTTGACTTCCCAAAAAGAGCACAACAGAATCTAACCCCAGCTCTGTCCAAAACACTGAGAATCAAGAAGAGTCATGTATCAAAATGAAAAATTAGTTTTATAAATGATTTGAACAGCAACCCCTTTTGCAAGCAATAGAACCTTGGATACATAAAAAAATTGAACACCCATAAACATCGAATTCATATCAGTGAATGAAAGCAGACCAAACATTTCAAGTGCACTTCCAATTCGGCATAAGAGTACTCAAAAAGTAGAAATTATGCAAAGAACTAGATGTATACAAATTCAGATAAGTAAAAGATAGAGCAAAGGCTAGATAAGTGTAAATGGCTTCATCTAAAACTGGATTATCAAGAAAAGAATAACAAGCATCACCATTACCACAGTCTTCAACTTAAAATCCATAAAAATTTAAAAATTAAACCTAAAAAACAAATCATATTCCCAGAAAAAGACCTAGAAATTCTTTTTTCAGAAACTTCCCCAATTTCTATATAATTCGAAAATAGATATTACAAAATACATAATTAGGGCTTAAAAGGGAGGAAGAGAGACTAAGGGAGGGGTGAGCGAGCCACTGAGAGAGCACGAGCTAGCCACAACGATAGAGAAACAGAGGCAGAGCAAGAGTGAGAAAGAAAGAGCGAAATCGTGAGAGTGAGAAGGAACGAGAGAAGAGAGAGAGAGAGCGATATGAAAATGAAAGTGAGAGAGCGAGAGTGCGAGTGAGAAAGAGAGAGTGCTTTTGAAAAATTGGGGTTTCACTCGTGAAAAATCAGATCCCGCTTTTATTTTTTATGCCCGCCCACAATCGCTTCTTTTTCTTTTTCTCTTAATGCTATCTTCATTTTTTATTTTTTTTATTTATTTTTTTTGGTCTGAGACTAGCTTGTTTAAAGTGTCAACTTTTTTTTTCTTTCCCTTTTTCTCTTTTTCCTAAGGGTGTTTTTTAGAAAGTGTCAAGTATACAAGGGTTTTAATTGATGTTTTTTATAAAACATCAAGAAAAAGTGATATAGAGTTGAAGTTCTTTATTAAACGTCAAGGAAAGTGATATAAAGTTGACGTTTCTTGTAAAACGTCATGAAAACCTACTATATAGTTTACGCTTTTTAAAAAGCGTTAAAGCTTCATAGAATAGGTGATGGTTTTGCAAAAAGCGTCAACTATGAAGTGTCAACTAAGGCCCATTTTCTTGTAGTGATAACACCTCCCACCCCAACCCAGACCTTTCGCACTGCTTGTCACCCCCTACCTCTCTCTCTCTCTCTCTCTCTCTCTCCATAAAACAACTGCAAGATGTCTTAAACCATGGAAGCAAAAACAAAAACCAATATAAAATATTCTAAGGGCCCATTTGATAACGATTTCAATTTTAGTTTTTAGTTTTCATTTTTTGTGCTAAAGTATAGAAAAAATGAGAGTGAGGATGAAATTGGAAAGATGATGAGAAGGGAGGATGGGAGGGAGAAGTAACAAAAGTGAAAACAAAAACTTGAAATTGAAAACAATTTCAAATAGGTTTCAATTTTTAGTTTTTTTTTTAACTTTTGTTACTCCTCCATAACATCCTCCCATCTCATCTTCCCTCACAATATCATCTCCACTCTCGTTCTCACTTCCATTCTCTCTCTTTTTGCTCTATACTCTAGCACAAAAATTGAAAACTAAAAACTAAAATTGAAATCGTTATCAAACGGTCCCTAAGAGCATTTCCAACCGATGTGTCAAATTGGCACATGGACATGAAATGGAAAAAATTGAAAGTTAAAGTTGCCCCAACCAAGTAGTCAAATCCTATGTGGATTTGAAGTCTAGAAGAGATATGTCAAAAATAACATATCAAAAAGCTTGATGTCAAATATTATTTTAATATTTTTTTAGTCATGGACCCCACTATTATTTACTCTCTTTTAAAACTTTATACATCATATGGGCCCCATTTTCTTTTAAAAATATAATAAAATAATATGATATTTGGCATTTTGGGTGGAGTTAAATTTTTTCCGACGTGTCAAATTGCCACAGAAGCCATCAAATTCAAATTTAACATTTTGCATTTGACATCTCCCTTGGAGATGCTCTAAGTTTTTATGTCAGAAGTATCCGTCACTTTGTAGAAACCCAGTTTGAGAAAATCTGTATCTTCAACTTGGGTTTCCATTTTCAAGCATAGAGCAAGAAAAAAAAAATCTGTAAACTGGATTGGTGTTATTTTGTGTTAATATGTATCAAGAAGTCAGTGATTGTGGAGGAGGAGGAGGAGAATCTTGATCCCTTTGGTAATATTATGTAGGAAAATTGTTGGAAAAACTGGGGTCTAATTGCTATGTTTTAATTTTGGAAAAAAAAAATTGCTATGTTTTAATCACACATAAATTCATAAATAATATTTCAATATCATGCTCAGAAATCAAAAGCATACATAATGAAAAATCACATGATATTGATTAGAAAAACCTGAATAATTGAGTCGAGGCAAGTGTTGGACACTTTGACCTTATGATGAATTACGCCCCACACAGGTTCTTTTCCTCTTACATCTTTGAAATTGTAATACCCTCAAAAATAATATTTGGTTTTATTATTTTTGTGGAAAATATTATTAAGTCGTGTGACTATTTTGGATGTTGTATGATTTTGGTTTGGTGTGGAAATATTGGAATTAAGTGACTTAATCTCAATTTGGGACAAAATACCTTTATGATTAAGTTTATGATTTTACAAAGGAAGTACAAGAAATTGAAGCGAGAAAATTATGATTTTTGATTTGGAAAATCGAGGTTGATCTCACGAACGCGTAGGCGCAAACGGTTCGTGAATCCGAGTTGAAACAAAGAAGTTATACTCGTTTGAAGTTTCAGGGACTAAACTGCAAACAGAGACTTTGCCTATAAATTTCAGAAGGACACTGTTGAGGATTCAGAAATTGCAATTGAATCCGGAGGTTTGAGAGCTCATCGGAGAGGCGATTTCCGGCGGCTGCTGCGGCGGCGTACGGTGGAGGTGATCGACACCACCAACCCAGATAGAAATCCAGATATCTTTTGAACATAACCCAAGAAGATTCGGAGTCATCGGAGGTGCGATGAAGGC